AGCAGGTGGCGATAGCTGTAGGGGGAAGCGGCTTCCTGTCTTGACCTCTGTAAACACGTTCTAGATGAGTTTATGTGATCAGTAACTCGTTTTAGCTTTTTACTCAATTAAACATTATTGCACTGTGTAAACTTCAAAAACCAATGACTGCTGTCGCAGCAGCTTTGCCTCTATGAGAAAACAGAACCGACCTTCCGCACTCTGGTCTGGTCTCCACAGTGGAACGACAGACCTCAATAAAGGACATTTTGCCTTGAATGAGTACCGGGAATCATTACCTCATCTAGGAACGGATGAACATCCCCACGGACGAAGAACTCCACCAGCGAGCTGCGAGGTAGTTTGTATTCCTCCATCCCCACAGACAAACTCTGCAGCATCTTCTCCTTGTTCTGGCTCTTTCCCATCAGCTCCACTGCTGCCTTCAAGGCGTCCTCTGGCTGCTCAAAGTCCTTCATCCAGCAAAGCAGGCCCTCCAGGTGGCTCTGAGGCCTACTGGCGTCTGGGGCAAACTGACGCCAGATATACTTCGGCAGCTTCACGTAGTCATTCCCAGCCAGGGCAGCGAAGGTGGGCAGGAGCTGGGGCTGGATTTGGAAGTAGATGCAGAAGCTGGAGGTATAGTACCTCTTACAAGGGATGTAGCTCTTTGAGCCATTCCCCTTTACATCCTGCCACTGGAAGTAAGAGATGGGCAACAATCCTGCTGAGAGGTTGAAGATGTAGAAGTCGCTGTCGTTGGAAAGCACTGGGCACTGCCACTTATCAGCTAGGGCGGCTATCTCCCGGTCGGCCTCGCCAAAGCACTGGGCAACCGGGACCTTCAGCCGGGTCAGCGTCTGTCTGAACACCCACTTGGTCATGATTGGCAGGATGTTTTCCTTCCCCCCGTCCTTTGCTGCTCGATGGGCACTTTCGATCCGCTGCTCTGCCCTTTGTGTCACAGTTTCGAGCTTCTTGTCGGTGGGGTCCGAGCCTCCGTCCAGCACTATGTAGGGATCGACCTCGCAGGTTCTGAGGGCTGTGATGAACCTCTCAATCAGGCTTTCATAGGCAGCATACTCCCCGCCGTGATTCTGGTCCAGACCTGAAGAATCAGCCAAAGGAAACACAACAAAGAGACTCCAAGAGTCAGTTTTGCACGTGGCAACAAACCATGCTGAGCTGACATCAAGCAGAAACTGTCTGAAACAAATGCTGTCACCACGCTGTGACATCAGGAAGCTCGAGAAGATGTCAGGAAGGTCAAAGAATACTGAGGCGAGTAGTTTTACACATCCAGGACATGCGTGATGTTCACCACGTCTGAGTAATGAAAGTGTGCATGAACTCAAACCAGTATTTCAGATACTGATCCTGTGATTTTCCCTCAGCACCTTAAAGGCTTCCATACTACACACATATATATGTGTAATGTGGTTTTTATAGATTCTGGTTCTGAACAGTGACGCTGTAGGGACTTAGGCCTCCAGCAGGGGGCGACTCCTCAGGTTGGGAAAATGACCTCTGAGCTCAGTAATCTCTCCTGATGAGTTCAGTCTGTGTGAATCAAACGTCTACAGTCTGAAGGTGTTTGAGTTTAGTGCACCATCAGCTGATTCTGGGTCAGTAACGCACTAAACTCTGCACTCTGTGACTTTGTGGTTGGTTAGGAGCAGTGTTGGTCAAGTTACTTGAAAAAACGTAATC